AGTAAAATAACTCATTCAGTTAGCCAAAAGATTCAGGAACAATTTAGCACAGATTTCTACAAGCAAAAGAACTCCATCCAACTCATGCCTTCAGTAGAATAAAACTGCGCTCAGGATCAGCAAGCAGCTATGTAAAAAAATGTAGAAAATCTAAGAGAAAAAGGAAATATAAACCTTCCTGTCCTCAGCGGTTGCGCTCCGGTGGAAGGGGCCGGTTGAACCCGCCACGGCAGTTCATGTACTGCCGTGGCTGCCGCTTGGTGACGACGCGCACCCCGCTAACATCGGCGTCAGGGACGTGCTTCCCCTTGGTGGAGTCGAAGCCGACGGGGATCCCCATCATCTTCATCATCTCCAGCTCCTCCACGTCCACGTCCCCTTCGCCCGCCGCGACCCCATCCCCGGCGGCACTCTGAGCAGGAAGAGGCCCGCGTCACCAACCACATGTCGACATCGTCGGGGTTGCCGCCGCCGCCACCACCCGCGTTGTTGTCGTCGTCGGGGATGGAGCCGCCGCAGGATCAGCGCGAGGGAGGGCCCCCTGCGCCGGATCCGCGCCGCTCGGCCGTCGCTCGTCGCCCGCTCCCATCTGGCGCCCCTCACTCCCAGCCGCGATCTGCCGCCACCCTCGCCTGGCCGCCATGGTGCCGCTGAGCCCCCCGGCCGCCGTCGCTTGCCGCCGCTTACTCCCGGCCACCGAGCCGCCCGACCATTGCCCGACTGAGAGGAGAGAAAGGGAGAGATTGAGAGGAGAGGAAATGAAAAAAGAGAGGGAGTTAATATCTGTTGGGAGAGAGAGAGGAGGGGTGGTGAAAAAAATTTGAAGCAAGGAGGAGCGAAAGAGAAAGAGGAGGAAAATAATTATTAAAAATATTAATTTGATAATAAATGAACTTCGAGTTGAATTTTAAGATACTAAATGAACTTACGTGAAAAAGTTCTTAAAAACAAAGTTATATAAATCATTGAGATCTATAACTTTTCTTTTGGACATTTCTCCATCCGAGTTTGATTGAACTATATAAAATTTGAATTTTAAAATATAAGAAATTCAAATATTTTTTCAGGTAGCAAATGAATTCAAATGAAAAAGTCATCAACAACAGAGTTGTATAGCTTATCAAGATCTACAACTTTTGTATTGGTCAATTTTCTATATGATTTTGTTTGAACAGTTTGAATTTCAATTTCAAATTATGACAACTTCAAAACAAAATATGACTTTGTTTTGGTCATTTCTTTATTTGACAAAGTAATAGTAACACTGTTCACAAAATTTACATATCTCTATTATAGTTTATAAACTATATAAGAGATACGTATATTTTGTGAACAATGTTATAAATCGCTTCGTCAGATGAAGAGATGACACAAATAAAAATTATAGATTTTGATGAGATATACGACTTTGTTATTGATGACTTTTTCAGTTGAAATCATTTAATATTTGAAAATGTTGTTTGAAGTTGTCATAATTTGAAATTCAAATTCAAATTATTGAAACAAAGTCATATAGCAAAATGACCAAAACAAAAGTTGTTGATATTGATGAGTTATACAACTTTGTTGTCGATAACTTTTTCAATTGAAATTATTTAGTATTTAAAAATGTTATTTAAAGTTTTCATAATTTGAAATTCAAATTTTATATAGGTCAAACAAACTCAGATGGAGAAATAACCAAAATAAAATAGGTAGATCTCAATAAGTTATACAACTTTGTTTTTGACAACTTTTTCCCACAAGTTCATTTAGTATGATAAAACTCGATTCTAAGTTTTAATATTTTGAAATTAATTGAAAGGATGGAGGCAAAATAGACTTCTTGGTGAGGGAAGAGCAAAAGGGCTGGCCCATAACAGGCCTTGTTTCATACCATCTATGTTTAACCTTTTTTTTTCTTTTATTTTTTTTACCATTGTGAAGTAACACACAAAAATCGAGATCTACCAATTTTGTTTTGGTTATTTGTCCATCTGAGTTTGATTAGCCTATATAATATTTGACTTTCAAATTATGACAACTTCGAACAACATTTTCAAATACTACATGATTTCATCTCAAAAGGTCATCAACAACAAAGTTGTATAAATCATCAATATATACAACTTTTATTTTGATCATTTTTCTATACGACTCTGTTTCAATAATTTGAATTTCAATTTCAAATTATGACAACTTCAAACAACATTTTCGAATACTAAATGATTTCAACTAAAAAAGTCATCAACAACAAAGTTGTATAAATCATCAATATCTACAACTTTTGTTTTGGTCATTTCGCTATATGATTCTATTTCAATAATTTTAATTCGAATTTCAAATTATGACAACTTCAAACAATATTTTCTAATACTAAATGATTTCAACTGAAAAAGTCATCAAAAACAAAGTTGTATAAATCATCATATCCACAACTTTTGTTTTGGTCATTTTGCTATAGGACTCTGTTTTAAGAATTTGAATTTGAATTTCAAATTATGACAACTTCAGAGAACATTTTCAAATACTAAATGATTTCAACTGAAAAAGTCATCAACATCAAAGTTGTATAAATCATCAATATATAGAACTTTTATTTTGGTCATTTCTTCATCCGATAAAGTGATAGCAACATTGTTCACAAAATTTACATATCTCTTATATGGTTTTGATGTATTTAATATTATATTTGTAAATTGCGATGAAATTGCTATAACATCACAGGTTTTTGGCCGGTTTATGACGAAATCGATAAAATGTCATGGTATTATGGACCTTGTATCCATTATTGCATATCCGTGACGATCTCTGAAAACATCACGAAAATTTCGTCAAATTTCGTCACAGATTAAATAGATTCTTATAGTATTTGGGACCCTACAGTGAGGTTCCAGAAATAAAAAAAGAGTGATTCAAGAGAGAGTCATCTAAGGAATATAGTTAGTTTGTGAAAATATATAAAAAACCCAAGTGAGTATCAGGGGAAAAGGAACGACTTGAATCACGACCGTTTCATTCATCAATCGCCCAAGATTGTAAAATACACACCTCAAAGTTCACAGGTACATATATGGCTTAGAATAGATTGTATACATGTATATACCTTGAAGAATTTTATTCCACAATAATCCTTAATGGGACGAGTAAAGAGCTAAGTGTCGGGGTTTTTTGACGGTTATTAATTTCCAAATTTACGCCGTCAATACCTGCATAAATATAAAAAGATAAAACATCCAACATAGTGGTAGGGTTTAATTCTAACGATTCCTACAGTATTGGTGTATATTTGAATGCAAGTAATAAACCATCAAAGTTGAGGCGAAATATACATAAAGAAGGAGGAGAATCAAACTTATATCCAAGCCTATGGAGTCTTGGTCCACAAACCTAACAAAACACCTACAATTGGGCCCATTCACCATACAAGCGAACGGAGAGACTCCCTGCCAGAGCCCAGGAGGAAGTGCTGGGCCAGGGAGGCTGCCCAGGGTTCGGCCAAACAATGCCTGGCCCAGCCCAGCCACAACCGCCTTCAGGCCATCCCCGATACATGTCAATCTCTACTACCATATTGAATAACTCACGCGACACGCGGACACTTGTTCCAGTAATCCATGCCAAGTCCATGTATTGTTTGTCTTCTACAACCAGATGCAACGAATTTGAAGAGCCCAACCTATATATATACTCTAAATTAAGAACTCCTAAGCTACCATAAGCGTGGGGTCGGCACACTCTATTCCAATCGACCAAACAATTGCTACCATTGGCCTTCTCTTGCTCTGACCGTGAGAAGCCGCTCCTCTTGTCTATAGGTTTGGTCACCTATTTTGGAAGGTGATAAATCGGTATAGTTGAGAGCACTTCTTTCACCGTAACTAAGCGACTGGCCCTGTTTATGAGTGAGGTCTTCCACAAAGAGAGTATGTCATCAGCAACTGTGTCAATAAGGGATAGAAAGTCCGCTTTAGAAGGCTTCTCTACTGTACCACTTTTGCAAGGGAAGTCCTTCACCTTACAAGGCAGCGAGTTAACAATTACTTGCAGATCTTCATCAAAACATCTAATAGGAATGACAAACCTCTTTTGCATATTTGTTAACAGCCCCAAAGCAAGACCAAAGATATTGCGTTTGACAATTTCCTCAATTTTCAGCTGCAATAGTCTTTTAATGAGGATTTTAAAATTCATCATCTTTCCTCACATGAAGTTCTGGCCTGTTTCTTTTTCTTTTTACTGCAAAGCCCAGCCCCCCACACCAACATCTCTCATAGTAGTTTCTGCTCATCTTTCACGTAACTCCAATGGCAGTCACATCCCTGCCATCATCTTGTTCTAGTGTTGCTCGGAGTCAGGACGAAGTCAGTCGGGCTGAACATACATCGACCCCATCCCTAGTTCCTAATTTTGAGGTTATAGCAAAATACCTACCAGCTGCCAAGCACGATTGAGAAGCGCTGAACGAGAGTTACCCAAACAAGCAGTACAAAAAACAATTAAATAATGTTTGTATATACTGTTCTTCAAGGTAATAAGCATCAGTACATCCATCAACATGGCTTGTACTGAGCAACCTTAGGAGTATATCTAAATACAGGTGTAAGTTCATTGCTGGTTTGTAAGTGTAATAGTTTTATAATAATGCTCCCAAGGAGGCCTTAGGCATACAGTAATAAACAAGAGGTTGGATCTGTAAGTTCTCATGGTGAATATATATATGGTTACCTGGTACTGGTAATTATTGAGCTCATTGTGTTGTGGCCAAGAAAACTTTTGAATATTTTGGATGGTCCTCAAGCATATAGAATAGTAAGTCATTATACGTTATTAACTGTGTTTTTAACCTTCTGTTCATGAGGTCAATTGATAATAATTAAACATTCATTGTGTTTTGGTCACGTATCCTTTTAATTAAGGAAGGAAAATTATTTATTTTCTTCATCATGTATATGTTCATAAAACCTGTATTGGACTATCTAGCTCAATTGATCATGTATATTCATTGCTACCTCAGTTCCGATATATGTAGCATGCATTATATAACTTTAACAAAAGGGATCCATCCCGATGACAAGATTTATTTCTTAGGCAATGATATCATCACTCTACATATGCTCACATCCTCAAGAAAAGATAATATATGATGGCAGATCGTGATTATCATAGCTTATTGGAAATAAAACGTGACAGAAATCAAGAGAGATCGATGGCACACTGGATTGGATATCATGATATCCATTTTATTTCTGAGTACTCCAGGGTAGCATAGCCTACCATGGGCTTCCATGTGTGAGGACCCTTATGCTTGCATGTTGCACTTGCTTAGGAAACAGCGGTGACAGTCTCAGCTTCCTTGGTACAGAAGCGGCGGCATGCTTCGTTGCAACGATCGACGGCATGATTGGCTTCTTCATTGGCAAAAACTGAAAAGGAAAACAAACGTTTCAATCTATACATTAGCTATATAGAACAAAGAATATTTATTTTTTTGGTTGCAAATCAATGGTAATTTAGCTTGATGTTTTTTCTCGCTTACGAGTGCTCATGGTGCTGCACACAGACGAAGCACATCCCAGCTTGCAGAAGTCAACTACCTCCGATTCCTCTGCAAAATCATGTATATGCATGAATAAATGCTTGTACCAATAGATATTACAAAATTAATAGCCCAAAAGTTTACACAAAGGGAGTTAATATGTTTTAATTTGCCTAGGTTAGCTGGGGTGAAGGGCGTGGTGAATGCAAGATAGAAATATAGACAAGGAGAGCTAATGTTTCTAATTTACCAGCTTCTGGGTGAAGGGTATGGTGAACGTAAGGAGGCTCGCAGTTCCCATCAACAATTTTGCAGCCAGAAAGTTTAGCACAGGTGTTTCTTGAGCCACCCGCGAAACGGCATGAGTTATAGACGTTTCTTGCTGTGGTGGATGGGCAACAACTCTTTGCTTCCACCTGGATCTTCTCTTGTTGCAGGACTAAGCCTAGCACTAGCATACACATGATCAAACTCTTCACTCCTTCCATGCTTTCTAGCTTGTTTTCCAATGAGATTTAGTCGGGGATCAACAAACTAAAGCAAGAGGGCTGAAAGGCTACTGCTTCCTTGGTCTTGTGGTTGTGCATCTGATTGGAGAGTGCGACGTGTCTATTTATAGCTGAAGCCAACATCATGCCCAAGCTGCACCCGCATGATAGAGATGATTATGTTATTTTAATTCACAATAGTTATATTGGCGATATGTTCTGTGTATTTGTTTGTTTAGAGACCAAGCTACTTTATTGCATGCATGACACATGTATATGGATGGCTTGGTACATGCTTACCTGCTATCGTCCAGCGAAATATAGAAGACCGAGTGTGTACCGTGTTCTGTAGACTACAACTGATCCCATTTCATGCAAAACTTTTGCTGCCCATGTGGTGAACGTGATGAGAAATAGAAGCTTAATCACATGGCATCTTCTGCCTTACTAGCATCTATAGCTAGTAGTACTGGCCTGGTAGCTAGGTGGCTGTTAAAAATTTTACTAAAAAAAATGTTGCTACTACACATTAGGCTAACCTATGGGTATAGCTGTTTACAACACCCAAATTTTAGAATCGGATGTATCCAATCGATAATAGTACTGCTGCCAGTTAATGTTGTATACTAGCAGTGATTATTTCACACACTAGCAAATTTAAGTCGATGGCCACTTGACAGCAACAACACACGTGGAGGACATATCAAAAGAAAACGGCACTAAGCTGTTGTGAAAAAAGAAACATATACATCAGCACAAATCTAACGATACCGATGGAGTTCATCATCACTTTCTGTCACTGTAGCTATGTCCTTACCAACATATATTATTGCCTTCTCTTGCCTCCTCTCTCTAGATATGCGTAGAATTATGTGATGATTTAATCGTGGTGATGAACAATTGTCAAAGGTGAGTGCTTTGTGAAAATACGGTGAATAGTGTTTTCGGTAGTCGGCTCTTGGTGGCTGGTCAGACCAAGCGGGGACTGCCGGTCAGACCAGTGGTGTTGGACCGGTCTAACCGGGTTGCCCAACGGTCAGATTAGCAGACTCCGGGTAGGAGTCAGTTTCGGATTGTTTTCATGGGATTTCTACAGTGCTTTATGGATATGACTTCTAGATGGTTTCTATTCGTATATGATGCTATTGTGTGATGGTCTGAGTGAAGTTAGTGTGAACTTGCTGCCTCCACGCCACCGGATCTGGCGGAGGCGAGGTCCAACCCGCCACCACCGCTACACCTCTTCTCTCGCTCGATCTGGCGGGGGGAGGGGGGGTCCGGGCCACCGCCTCCATGTCGTCCGCCGCCGCTGCACCTCCCCTCCCCCCGATCTAGTTGACGGGAGGGCGTCGCTACCTCTCCCGCCGCTGCCGCAGAGAGAGAGAGAGACACAGAGAGAGAGAGGAGAAGCGTCACTACCTCTCCCACCGCTGCCGCAGAGAGAGAGAGAGGACAAGCCGAGAGAAGGGCTCAGCCTTATCTCCTGCCGGTGTGGGTGTGGGCCCCATCTGGAGGAAAAATACCTCCCCTAGCTGGTTCGGCTCGATTTTATCGGTTTCGGTTTTTTTAAAAACCGGCACTTATAATTAATTATAGGTGAACCGACACCTAAAATATAGGTGCCGGTTTTTCCGTAAAACTGACACCTATCTTCGTTTAAAGGTGTTAGTTTTATTTTTTTTTCATTTTATGAATGTGGGAAAAGCACTATAGGTGCCGATTTAATCACTTCCGTTACCTATAGTGGCAACGCCTATTTGATATTTTGTATGAGTGACTATGAGTATTGTTAAGTCAGATTTGACACCACATATGCTTTAATTTTTTTTTAATAAAACCACTCGGCTGGTTGATTTATTTGCTCTTTGACTATATGTTTAGTTTGTTCATCTAATCACATAGTTGGGGTTACACCTAATTAGCTGCATCTAGTCGATGCCACTGAACGCCCTCCTTCCCTCCAACTAGATCAAGGACAGGGAGGGAAAGGGAGTGCAGCTGCCGCCAGCTTCCGCCCCTTTGGCCAGATTAGGAAGAGAGTGGAGGGGCTGTGGTGGAAAGGGAAGTGGAAAAGGTGAGGGAGAGAGCTGAGACGGGTGAGGGGCTGAGAGGTCAAGCAGTTAGGGTGTGGGAGGGGCAAGGTGCGCTCGTTGGTTGTGATCCAATTTTTTTAAGCCGCTCCTATATTTACTGGCGAACGTCTTAAGTTCTCGCCTGCAAAAAAATGTTAAATTACTGGCAAGGTCTAAAGAGGACCACAAGCAAAAATTACTGGCAAGGACTTGAGAAGCCAGAATACAGTGTAGCTCATGAGCTGGTCAGTGATGACCAGAGTTGAGGTAGAGGATAATTAAGTAGACCCCTCCATAAACTAATTGCTGGAATAGACCCTTTTTGGCATCAACCTCATTGGCGCCCTTCCTCTCTTGCAGCACCAGCATCATTACCACTATCCGAATAGGACTTAGTCACGCGCGCCCTCCCTCCTTCCCCCCAGTCCGTGCCCGAATAGGAGCAGTTCTCCCTTCCCTCTCCTCTCCTCCTCAATTCCAGTCGATTTGGACCTATTTTTCTCGGAATTTCTCATGGAAGTTGAAGAGCAGCATATACTACACCATTCCTCTTTTTTTTCGGTTTAATTGGTCAAATATTTAGAGATCAGATAGTAACCCTAAAAACTTCGTTTTCCCCCCAAATTTGAGGCCTCCCAATGTGGGATTTTAGGCTTGTATTGGTTCTTGTATGTAACTTGCTTCAAGCTCTTAGAATTTTTCAGATATATAGGTGTTATTCAAAATTTTAAGTTGAAAAATGAATGCATGAATATATGCATAAATTAATTTATAGGCATTCAATTGATGGTATGTGTTAGTTTATTGGTGTGTATTGATAATAGATTTGAGCCATGGATATTTCATTTTCATAGGTATTTATTATATGGATGATAGACTAATTTTGTGGGATGATACACTAATGGTGTACAAACCATACAATTAGGTTCGTCAGTATATCAGAGTCGGTCGGCACGTGATAGGTCAATGATCGAATGGTACGTAGAGTGATCTCGCTGCATGTGATTGTGATCAGATAAGTACTATCAGCTGAGTGATGTAAAGAATAGACTAATTAAATTATATTATAAAAATATCTAAGTGCTAGCTCTCTGATAGATGATAATATAATCTGTGTATGCATATCTCGTGCATATATATTATAACCTATACAAATTTGCTTCCTTGGATGGATATAATGCAGAAACATTCAGGCATGCGGACCATGCTTATTGCACTAGCTTGTACAGTTGCACCTATACCTATTGTCAGAACAAGCATGGTGAAGTGAGGTGATCTAGCTAGTAAGGAAGTAGCACCTATACCTCTCCTCCTCAAATCCCGTCGATTTGGACCTATTTTTCTCGGAATTTCTCATGGAAGTTAAAGAGCAGTATATACTACACCATTCCTCTTTTTTTTCGATTTAATTGGTCAAATTTAGAGATTGGAGAGTAACCCTAAAAACTTCTTTTTTTTCTCCAAATTTAGGCCTCCCAATGTGGGATTTTAGGCTTGTATTGGTTCTTGTATGTAATGTGCTTCTAGCTCTTAGAATTTTTCAGATATATAGGTGTTATTAAAAATTTTAAGTTGAAAAACGAATGCATGAATATATGCATAAATTAATTTATAGGCATTCAATTGAAGGTATGCTAGTTTATTGTTGTGTATGGATAATAAATTTGAGCCAAGGATTTTTCATTTTTATAGGTATTTATTAGATGGATGATAGACTAATTTTGTGGGGTGATCGACTAATGGTGTACTAAACATACAATTTGGTTCATTAGTTTATCAGTTGGTCGGCACGTGATAGGTCAATATTCGAATGGTACGTAGAGTGATCTCGCCGCATGTGATTGTGATCGGATATGTACTATCAGCTGAGTGATGTAAAGAATAGACTAATTAAATTCCAGTATAAAAATATCTAAGTGCTAGCTCTCTGATCGATGATAATATAATATGTGTATGCATATCTCGTGCATATATATTATCACCTATACAAATTTGCTTCCTTGGATTATGTAGATGGATATAATGCGGGGACATGCAGGCATGCGGACCATGCTTATTGCACTAGCTTGTACAGTTGCACCTATACCTATTGTCAGAACAAACATGGTGAAGTGAGGTCTAGCTAGTAAGGAAGTAGCAACTAATAGTTCTGCATTGTACTAGTCGTTGTAGCCCATGTAACGACCGCTGCCCCACTCTTTGGTTTTACCCCGATTTATGTTAACAAAATTTTAAAATACTTAATGTGAAATTTTTTTATATAGAAGTTGTTTAAAAATATTAGATAAATCTATTTCTATCTTTGTAATAATTGTAACTCAATTAATCATGCTAGCCGTTTGGAAATATCTACGCACTTTAACCTTTTTTTTGTGCGTGTGTTTTAGAATTGTAAAGTTACATATAAATTATTCAAGCCCAATTTCATACTTGCACTAAACCCCTAAAAAACCGTAAACATATATATTTCCTATAAAAGACATAATATGATCCTCGGCGTCCCAAGGTGTCTTGGTTGGCTCCGTCAATGCACTAACTCGACGAAACCAACATGGCACCTAGAGCACCTCATATTTCTGTGATGATTTAATAACCTAGGAACTAAATCCATATATAAATGAATAATTATCAAAAAAAATTACATATATACCACATATCCTAAGTCCCAAAAATCACAAAATTGACATATAAAAAAATTGCATCTACATTTTTTAATAAAAATTGACATCGCACAAAATTGACAAATTGTCATTTCACAAATTTCACAAATATCACCCTAAGTCCCAAATTTCACATATCACAAATTGCACATATCACAAATTTTCACAAAAAACCTAAAACACGCTTACCGCTAGCGGCTTGGGGTGGAGGTGGCCGGCGGCGGATTTTGGGGAAGCCGGTAGCTTGGGAAGGAGGTGGCCGGTGGCAGAGGTCGGTAAGGCCAGCGGCTTGGGGAGGAGGTCGGCGGCAGCAAAGGTTGGGGATGCTGGTTGTTTCGGGAGGACGACGGCCGCGGCGGAGGTCGTGGAGGCCGGCGTGAGG